TCAATTTGTCAGAAGTCAGTAAAAGGAATCTATTAAACCGTCTTTGAACCAAATCGCCATGGAATTTGCATATTTAATTGAAATCCCAGAAAAGATGTGATATTCAAAAACAATAATCCTAAATACATGTAGAGAGATAAAATCTTCTGTACCACAAATCATGTATTTCTATAAGCAATAGTTTGTGTTCATTTTTTTATATCAACCCTTTCCATATGAGAAACATAGGAAATATTAGCATATAGCAGACTTTTAGCAATTTAGCTCTGCTGTGTGTGTGTGCACGGTCGAGGTGTGTGTATCATCCATAAAATACTCTATCCTTTAAAAGTGCTGACATGCCAAGTGTCAGCCTGAGGATGAAGGGAAATTGGAAACGTGCTCCTGAGGAGGAAATGTATGCAGATGAAAACAGTCTAGGACTTTCTGTTGGAAGGTTGTTAATGTTGAAATGACAAAGGAAATTCCCCAAGACAGTTTATGTTCAGTGTAACTAATCCTCTAACATACCATAAGATACAAATGGCACCAACAGCCATGTTTGCTTTTAACATCATCGCAGACAAAAGACTAAATCCTGCAAAGCAATGGCAAAATCTTCATCCCCATCACTTAAATCCCCATAATTGTCTTCATCACGATCATCTTAATCATCATTGCTGTTTCATCATCACTTAAGAACACTATCTAGCGATTTTGGGGATTTTCCACATCTCCTCATTTCGAGCTCTTTGAATTCCTTCAATATAATTCCAAAGATTGATTTCTTCACTTATGATGTGATATGATGCTCGGATATCTCAAATGCCCCCTCCCCCCCCACAAACACACACACACACACACTTCTCTTTACTCCAGCTTTAGTCTGTCTCAAGAATCTCAACTCTACAGCATTACCATGTCTTTCTATCCTGTAGGAACTAGGAATCTATTAATTCCCCATCCAATCTTTTTAGAAATGACAGGACTCTTCATCCCTTGCCAGACTTTACATCCAAATTAGATGAAAGAGCAAGCTGTAACTCCTTTAGTGATAAGTGTTCTTATGCTCTGTATATTATTCAGTGTCAACTATAGCCTGACTGATAATGACTTTTTGATTTTGAGGCCAATACAGATATTGATATTTGGCAGTTAAAAAAAAATCATATAGGCAGACAGTACTTTTTTAACCTAAACATTTCATGTAAACAAACGTTTGTTACTGACTAGATTTTTTTTCTTTCCTGCAAATTGTGATTTTCTCTAGTTGACAAACATGATGACACTGTGCTGCAGTTTCTATGCCAACACATACACTGATAAATCTGCATTATAATAAAATATTAGTCATAGAAATGTCTCACAAATGTATATTTTTATTTAAAAAGGCTACAGGTAAAAGGCAAAACAACTCCCTAAAAAAGGGACTGCCATTTTAGCAAATATGTTTTAAACTGCAGTAAATAGTGCATGTCACTCAGTGCAACAATGCAGACCATTGATATGCTTAATAGAGTTTGGAAAAGAATGGCATCTACAGTATGGCAGTACAGCAGATGTGGCCCCAGCGCTTGTTAGTTGGATAAATTATTTTTGGTTTCCTTGGGGTTTGTGGCATTTGGTGACATCCTGTAGCTTTAATCTGTGTAAACTGTTTTTAGTGCAACCTTAACAAGTGACAGTTGCTTCATTGACTTCTAAAACCCCCTTTCATGTAACCCTATGACATTTTTTCTTCTAATCGGCCTGTACAGTGCGGCCATGGCGGGCAGAGTGCTGGTTGAAGCTGTCAGCTCAACACAGGCTTTGCTCCAGTTGCAGTGCATTAAACACTAGTGCCCCAATTATCTGCAATAATGTCAGTAATTGTGCTTCTCAACTTGAATAAATTGACACAAAAAGATAATTTGACAGTTCTACAGAATTCGACTCCTTATATTAAATCTGAATCTGAGCTATAAACAATTAGTATCATGCTGAATAAAAAGGCAAGTAGATAGATAAATGTTATTGTTACAGATTTCCAAAGCACATTATTCAGCGTATATAAATAAGTCAACAGTCATTCATATATAGGGCTGATGTGTTGTTCATTTCCACATGGTAATACGACAAAGCAGCTTAAGGCACAAATGGCATTTTGGCAACACTGCTAATAAAACTGGACTACTACCATATACTCATACTGTAAGTTATTTGTGTTATGTTGTCTAAACATTTTCTGATAATCACTATATTTAACATGTTTTCAGTCACTTATACACATATACATATAGATGACAAAACAATAAAATACAATAAAACTTTAGAGTCTTGACCCACACTTGTACACTGAATAATCTACATGAAGTTTTTCAGTTCAGGGGTCACACTACTTTAATATTTTGTAGAGTACCACTGTATTGTTTGTATGGATATATTTTCTGTTTATAGTGTATTCACCAGTGCTTGAAGGATTTTATATTTTCATACTACATTTGCTAGGCTTCCTCTACAACAAACATTTTAATTAAAATTTCTTACTCTGAAAAGATGTGGGTTCATAAAACATGTTTGCTTTAATGAAATATTTTCACAGTGAAATTAAGGGGTATAATATATAAATCACCAGGGTCAGTAACCTGTGAACAAGGCTATTGCCGCAATCAAAGCAATGGCATAAACTAATCAGAAGACCTTGGGGAAAAGGGTGCCGCATTTGACAGTGCAAACACAGCACCATCATCATGTTACTGATACTGTATATCAGCAGGGCACTCAAAGATTGTGAGCCTGTCCCTGTAGCTGAGGTTTCTGCTGATTGTCTGGGTTAACTGTAAGATTCACATCAAAGACTTGTGCAAAAATTACCTCTGGCAAAGGCACTGCAGTAAAGCATGGCTGCCTTGAATTAAGGAACACTAATTTCTCCTTAAAATAATGACCTTCGGGCCTGTTTATCTTAGTTTCTCCATCTTCTTACCCCTCCTCAACCAACATTCACAAACTCTGGTTAATAATAAGGTAGGTTTTCCTTTTCCTCCATCTCTAATTGTTTTTTTTTTATTGTCTCCCTAACCACTCAGTCTATTAGCAGCATTTAAGAAGCAAGACAACTGCATTAAGTGCCCCCTCAGCCCAGTTCTTCACAAGAAAACTTCAGAAAAAGTTCTCCTTTTAAATTTGTAACAAAGGAAGTATAAGAGATGTGTCACACTGTCAGTCTGGTTGAAGAGATTTATGATAACTCAAGCCTCTAATTTTTATTCAAATAATGTGTGGCCTCTGAGAACAATGTAACACTCACACCATCACAGCCCTGAAAAAGTCTAAGCCTGAACAAAGACATCTGAGACTGGAGATAAAAAGAACAGAGAATGAATAGAGGATTGTTGATTCTCACCAGGTAAAATGCAGATCCTGGTTTAGTCTTTATTGGTTAGTGGCCAGTTGTGACATGAAGCAGCACTCCACAGCAGCAGGTTATCCAACAGGCAGTTCAGTTCAGATTGGGGGTTAACACTCCAGTCTTACTGGCCCTGCCTCCTTCCGTGTCTAGCATTCTTGTAAGACTGGAGAGTCACTCTGAGGTTTAATTGCATGTTGACCCAGAAGGTCAAAATCTGTGTGTGTGTGTTCACTGGGAACTATCATTTTCTTTCATGTGTTTGAAAAGAAAAAGCCAGTGACCAAAAGTGGAAGGGAGCATGGAATTTGAGGAGTGAGGCAGTGATACTGATGTGACAATATATACTGTATGTACTGTATATATACAGCATGTGTAGCATGTGCATGTCTGCATTTGTGCATATGCATGCATTATATAGCAAGCTAAAAAGGTCTAAGCCACTCAATTTGTGTGTGTGTGTGTGTGTCTAAACATCTTCAGTAAATGTCCGTGTTTTATATCTTTTCTTCATTTGTGCACTTGCAATCACCTCTGTGTATGTGTGGGTGTGACTGGATGTCTGTACCATACATGGGTTGTATCAGCGTGTGGATGCAAAGGCTGATATTTGTTTGTGGGTAATATAAAACATTTTATTTCTCTCTCTGCTTTTGTCACTGAAACATGTCAGTGAAGAACATGCAGAAATACGGGTCTGAAAAATCCTTACAAATGCTGCCTGGCTTGAGGTTAAAGCCTGACATCCAAACTGTTTTTGTCTTTTTGGGTGTGGGGCCGGTGATGGTCTAGCCATACACATAATGACAAGTGTTGTTGTGACACAGCAGCCATTTTATTGAGAAAATAGATCATATTACTACCAGTTGCAAACAAAATAAAAGTAACTAATGGAACCTAATGCAGTTGCAGTCACTGGGTTCTAAATATTGCAAATGTTGTTTTACTTTATTATGTGCGGTTTATTACTATTGTCTTGAAAAATATTTTGTATTTACAATTTGAACAGTAAAAATGAAAAAACAGTTCTGGGACAGTTCTCTCTCCAATAGTCTTCCCGCTGTGTTCTGCATCCCTTTTCATTTGCTGCTCTAAGGTACGTACTGTAATTAATTCTTTATACATGCCGTTCTACATGCTCCACAAAGCCTAAACAACCCATCTCTCAGAGGCATCCTCACAGTTACTTCAACCATCTTTGCAGCAGCACAGGTTTACTGAAAGAAAATGGATCATAAAGAAAATCATAAATATAGGAAACATGTTTAATTATATTAATTAGCTCACAATATGGTGAGTGAGTGAGTTAGTAGCAAAATCCCGTCCGCAAGAAGCAGCTGGCAGTCTACTAATGAAGACATATAGCGTGTATATGTCCCTGCCTACTGTTTATCTTTTAGTTTATTAGCTTCATGTTCCGTATCTAAATTT